AAAGATCGGTCACTATTCATAGCTGATAAGATATTTGTTGAATTGATGACATTGGGGAATGTCTTTATTGGGAAATATGTATAAACTATTTTAGAAAGTAACAAAATTTCCAGTGGAAATATGAATGGTAATGATTTTAGAATTTCAAGAAAGAAAGAATGAAATTTTTTTTGGAGAAGATAAAAAAAAGAATATGAAAACAATTAATCTCAATTAAATCTATGGAATTTTAAATTTGAATTAAAAAAATCTCTTGATGAGGCATATTGAATGAGCCATTCCCAATTTTGTTGAAGTGGCTATATCATTAATGATACAAGTATATTGTCATGTTTTGACCATGTTTGTTATCAGATATATTTTCACCTCTGGGTATATTACTGTATTTTATCACTATAATCTATCCCTGTATCAATAGAGAGCTAAATAGGTCTAAGTTGTTATCACCTGTTTAAACATTCCAGATGTTTTATAGATTAATCATGATACCTGGTCTTGTCTTGTCCAAATAGAGTTATCTCTCTTTGAAGGTTCATATCTTGTCCTATATTAAATTCAAGGGATAAGTTTTACTTTCATACGATGTAGTTTATTACTTGTAGTTTATTATGTCAGTTCTGAGATTGTCCAAGAGGTGTAAACCTTATTGTTGATCTAATCAAATATTCTGTTGAAGAATATATAAACTAGCATATAAATGTGTGAATTTTGCAACATAAGAAAATAGATACGTAGATAACTTGAGACATTTTCAGGGGTACTGAACTTTGAATTAATTCTTGGCAGTGAATTGTAAAGTGTCTCTTGGCGTGTTTTAATTCATCTTGACAAGCTTAGTTAAAGAAAGTGTCAAAAATTCTTTAAAATCATACAGGAGGTAGAAAGATGGATCTCTATGAAGTTTATTTATATTTTGAACAAAATTGAAATAGAAAAAACAATTCATGAAAAGGTGTTTTCAGAATGCCTTATGGTCATAAACTGACACAAAATTTTAAAGTTTTATCTTCAGATATCTATTGACTAATCACATTTAATCTGATTATTCATACATTAAACTTTGGTGAATCTATTTTCAAAAAAAGCTTATAATCATAAATAAGAGCCCAAAGTATCAAACACTAAATTTTACCAATTCTATTCTAATAATTTTTATTCAATATGTAATCTATAGAATTAAATTATTTTATTTAGAATGTTTCAGCATATCTGCTGCTGAAACTTAAAATAACAACAATTATCAATGTATTGGACTTCAGAATTATAAAAATATAATAAAGGTCCTTTTGCTTCTTTTTGAAATAAAAGAATTTAAAAACTGGATTTTTAAATGGAAAAAAAGGTCTCTGGATTTTTTCATATTAATGTATGGGAATAGATCAATGTTAAACTACATAAAAAGTATATAAGAAATAAAAGGAATTTCATAATATTTTACAAGGAGTGAATTTGTGATGTATGTTTTAAAATTCATTTTGAAATAAAGAGGTTCATATGGATAAAAATTCATTCATAGCCTAGGAAAAAGTCAGATGGTTTCCCAATATAAAAGAAAAGTTAAAAGATCTATAAATCATAAAAATTCATGACTTCATTCATTCATATCAAAGGTAATAATTATGGGAAAATCTTTACGCTTATAATAGTAATTTTTATAATTCAATTCACATCTGAGTTATAATGGATTTTCATTGATTGATTCTATTTAAATTTGATGGGATTGTTTGATTAACTTGTGACTATGACCTGTGTTTATTTTTATAAGTTTTCATCTTTCATGATTTATTTGCTTTAGTGGTTTATAATATCTTGACAGTTTTATATGTTTATTTATATACCATGGCCTTTGAACACAGTTAAGACATAAAATATTGGCTGACAAAGCACTATATTGAAGATTTTATTATTATAAGTTAAGGTTATGAAAAAGATAAACTTGATTAAGTTATTTTGTGGAAAAATTTAACATATTAAATTTTAATGAGGGACATATTAAATGTAATGAAAAACATTCCAATTCAACTGACCGAAAAAAAGGAAACTTGGTCATGTACAAAAGTTTAAATCTATAATTCATTTGCGAGAAAGAATTTTCTAATTGTAGCTCTTTCTGTGAATGTTCTTTATGTTAATATGTATGTAAAAAACAAAGTTTGACAGATTTTAAAGCAATTGTTAAGACTTGTATTCATACATCTTATGTAGCCCTTAAATGATGCAATTATCAGAATAATCTTAGCAAGAGGTCTTTATAAGGCAAATAGTTTTTAATATATCCCATATTGTTCTGATATGGCCATATTATCAGAATAACAGTTCTGCAGCTAGAGAGCATTGTATGCTGTATTTTAATACCCATTCACATTTCTGAGAGTTAGATATAGTGAAAGGCTTGTGTCTATCTGTCTATCTTTTTTACATGATAACTTGAGTAAAGATTTTACATACTTTTTCCATGAAATTTGCAAATTTAAGTTTCTTGCACTTTTTGGAAATGATGGCTTCATCTTGAAATTTTTTCCTTAGAAATACATGTTGTAGGTATTGTTTTTCTTCCCTTAAAGAAATAATGAAAAATTGGTGATAAGACCCCTTCATATCCTAGTTTTAACTACTTTTATCATGTCAAATATGCATTCCTCTTACTTGAAGATAACTTTGCCGATCAGTCACTGATGACAATAAGGTTTGATAAATCATTGTAAGGCTATCAGCAGTAATCAATAGTTCATGAAATGGATTCAAATTGATTGCATTATCAACTCTTACAAAACATCATAGAAAATAAATTAGAACTTCTTGCTGAAAGCATTAACTGCACCATTAAGGACATGAATAAGATGTCTGAAGATTGTAATAAAATGTTGTTGAATCATGTACAGAAATAGAGTACAATCATGTAAGATTTATGGACAAAAAATATAGAGACATGTTAAAGGGTTGCAGGATAAAAGTTCAAAAAATTGTGAATATTAATATTGGGATTTTTAATTTTGTTAACACCTAAAAAATTAAAGAGAAATGACAAAGACAACCCTTTTTACCCTTTAAAGAAAACAGAAAACAAAGGGTCAAATGTCTTTTATAAGGTTTAGGTGTGAATGAAACTTCTGAAAGACATTTTGCAATCATAATTATTCCATAATAATAGTGTTATAGATTTTGAAACTGATACTTTGAGTTGAAAAAAAGTGCCTGTAAACATTTGAAAAAGCTTGTATTACATGTGAAAAGCATGTGAGTTGGCGATTATTGTCTTCAATAAGAAAGAGGAGGGTTTTCCAGTCCACCAGTCTATGACTAGTTTTCACATTATTTTCATACCCCCCCCCCCCTTTTCTTCCTAATTAAACAAATAAAGTACAATGACCCTAAACAAGAAAAATGTACATATTTACTGTTTTTTTGTTAACAGTAATGAAATCTTTTGTTTCATTTAAATATTGCTTTGAAATGAACACCTTAACCACTGAATTGTTTAGATTTAAATTGCAGATCTAATGTTTTCATAAGTAATTCTCAAAGCTTTTCAAATAATATGGTATATGAATTAGGTCAATAAGAGCCGACATAAACCTAGGATAAATATATCCCTTAATGGGATTATTCCCCATATTGGATTTTGAAAAGACAAATATTATGTTTTAAAAATAATAGATACTTATTTTTCGGTCATTTGAAATCAAAACTATTGTTATATGGAATTTAAAAGGTTGATATGAGTAACTTTTGAACAATTGAATATTAAAATCAAGATTTAACAACGAGTAGCCACAAGAATTTGTTTAACAGCTTTTTAATGGGATATCTTATATTTCATCGCCTAATTAAACCTGCTTCCATTTACAAATCTTGACAATTCATTTATTGATTTTGTTGATTAATTTTGAATGAAATTGTTTGGATATTTAATGTTGACACCTTCAGGGTTTCAATATTGGAACTTTTGTTCTGCATACAGTTTGTTCAGTCTCTTGGAACATTGGTGGAAAAATTGCACAAGTAACATTCATTTTTCATGAAGCTTTGTGATTAAAAACATACCTATATGCCGGTACATGTATCCATGATAATGGTTTTCGTATAGACTGAACAATGATGCATTTATGAGGCAATATACAGTAATAATTGAGGATTGTGTTGGAACGTAGCCATTTAAAAGAATAGAAAACTCATATCTCAGAGAGGAAAAATGTAGCAGTTTGTTTGCAAAGCTTTTGATCAAGTTTATACAGGAGTTTTTATAAATTTATGATAGTCTTGGAGTGTCACTACTTATCTTACCACTGGAAACAGCTAATTGACAGTTCAATTGATGTTTTAAATATTACCATACTGAAGTATTGTTTTTTATTCATATTAAGTCATTGCTGTCAAATTTCAATATTCGCTCTTTGACTCCAAGCTTGACTGTAATATTTAGAGTATTTTAATATCAATGAGAAGGATTTCGAAAAACGTCAACAAATTGGATGTATTTTTATTTGCACATATGAGGGGGAAATATTTAAACCACATTTTCTGTGAAACTTTTATCAGCAATTAAACAAGTTGACTTGCATAATATTTACTTTGCAACAGTTGTAAACCTGGATCAATCAATGGAAGATTTGTCATGCTTTTAACGTAATTTGTCAGTCCTCTGCACTAGGATTGTGTGACGTTCTCAAGAAACACCTAAGATATCCTAAAATACTATTCACGTCATATGGAATGAGACTTGGAACCGAAAGATCTAGAAAGATTTGTGGCCATAAAAAGTAAATATTATGGAGTGAAAATTGAAACTTTATGAATTTTATAGCTGTGCGAATGTTACGTTAAAACTTGTTCAAATGAAATTGATTGTGTTATAAACACAAGCTCAGTTTTATGCAGTGGAATAAGTGAAAAATCGGACATGCAAGTTTATAAATCTGAAAACATTTCCAAACATCAGTTTTTTATGAAGGTAAAGACTATATTTAAACAAGATATTTTAATTCTGTCTTGTTTCTTCTCAAATTCATAACTTTTTAATTAGTAATTAACTTCATTTAACATGGAGTGAAATTAATGAAAGGAAATTGGCTTAGATAAATTAATTAAGGTACGGACTAACAAGATTAATTAATAAATGTGAATAATTTATAATTTTGGTAGCATAATTATCAATTTTGTTATAAGTTTCAAGTATATACACATTCTGTGTTTTTATTTGTCACACCAGTATTAAGGAAAGAAACAGCAGGGACATTGTTTGAACAAAAATTCAAAAAGAAATTGAACTATATAAAAATTCAATCAATTTTAAGTCTCTTTTTATGTAGATTTTGATTAGAAAATCAATTATCGAGGAGATAAGAATTCTAAGAGGATATTTTGTGTGACCTAAGACATTAAAGAAGATATTTTTCTGTCCAAGGATTCGTTAGATTGACAAATCAATATTATGATTGAACGAAACAATGGATCTGTGCTAAGTTATTATTAACACCTTGCTATTGTCTGGCTCACCTGAATGTTTGGAATGGTAAAATCAATTTAAATGCATGTGTTGATATTGGGGATTGTAACTATTTAAATTAAGCACAATTATGACTCAGAATAGAGTCCCAAAGAAACAACAGGCAATGTCAAATGGCCATTTAAGTGCTCCGCCAACTGTAAGTGGGAGGAAACTACCAGATTTCCAGTTAAAGAAATTCATAGCACTACCACCAGGATTTAAAATAAAATCACCAGGGACTGATCAGGACTCACATTTACCAAGGAAACCAGTACCTATCAAAGCTGTCCCCCTAGGCTTAGATGGTCGCACTCCAGTGACCACAGACTACAATGGGGAGATTAATTCATTCTTTACTCAACCTGAACCAGGTAACAAATTGACAAACACTACATTTAATAGGAGAACAGATAGTATTTCTTCCATTGATAGTATAGCGAGCAGTGGTTTCTCTGACTTTTCATTAGATAGTAATACAGGGAGTGAAAGAAGGGGGCGATATAGGAAAAGATCTCAGTCAACACCACCTGATATTGGTAGACAGTCGAGATCTTCACCTGTGGATCGTAAAATTGTACAGAAGATAAAGACAGAATATAATCAAATATTGAATCAGTTACAAAAGGGGAATTTAAATCCAAAAAATCACAACAATAATAACGTTCAAAAACTCTCGAACGGTGGAAATAATAGTGGATTCCATTCCATTGAGGACTGGAGTGACACATCGTTGGATTCACTTGATTTAAATGATTCAACAGACTGGGATGTAACATTTAGCCATCAATCAGTTCCGATTACAGGTAACCACTTAGGACAGAACGATAATCCCACGGGGCAAACAACAAATATTATGCATCCTCAATATCTTACCTTACCTAGGAACTTTTTATCTACTAGTGGTGGTAGTGAACTTAGGGTTCATAAAATGGACAGTGTCAATAGACCTGTGTCGTCTGCTCATATGAATGGTTCTATGTTCAGAAATAATGGGTTAGTCGTTTACAAACCCTTGAATTCTGGTGAATTTATTATGGTTGGAAATCACCCTGAAGATTCTCATGGCATGATGCCAGGAACTAGGGTACCTTTGACAGAAAATCGTCAAAGTAATCTATTCAAATCTCGAGGACTATCTTCCAGTATGCCTACATTACTGAATCCTAAAGTTAAAGTGGATAAAAAATTACTTAAGGAAATTAAGAGGCGTGAAAAAGAAGAAAAGAAATTATTCGAAAAAGAGGAAAAAAGGAGAAGAGAGGAGGAGAAAAAAAGAATTCAGGAAGAGAAGAAAAGGAGGAAATCTATTCTGAAAGAGCAGAAAAAATTAGAAAAATTGGGAGATAAAAATAGGACTTTACCAAAGAATTGGGCATATGTGAATAAACCTATAGAGAGTGTATATCAAAGACCACATTCCCATTCTCGACCAAAATTATCACTTTCAGCAGTCCCTATTGATTTTGATGATGGACCATCAGTATTACAGAGATCTGTTCCTCCTCCAAATCAACCTCCACCTCCTCCTCCTCAAATGCTGCAGTCCAATACAGCAGCTAAGGCTTTATATACTAGTGCTCCGGATTTATTAAGATTGGAACAAGTTTATGGTGCTACTATTCGTGGACCTTCTCATTATAGTCGGAAACATAATGTGCCAAATCAAGGACCTGTATATGTCTTTAATCAGCCACAATCTAATTATGTGAGGTAGGTTGTCTTTAAACTGAAATTAGCTTTTGAAGAAAAAAAGGGGGTGAATTTGATTCAGATATATGCCATTTACATATCAATGAGAATTAGACTCAAAGAACAAAATATATCATTGTATTTTTTTCTAAAGTTTGGTTTTGGAGGACAGTTGTCAAAATTGAAAGAGTTGAAGGTCAAGTTAAGTTTTTCGAGGAGAGTTGTCAAATTGTAAAAAGGAAACGGTCAAGTTAAGCTTTTGAGGCTAGTTGTCATATTGAAAAATTGGAAGGTCCAACCCTCTCATACATTCTTCAAGCAGATCAAATCTGCCATCAGTTTATGGTACTTTGTCTTCTTTTTGACATTAAGTATAACATCTTATTCAAATTTATATATGTTTATGACTGTTTATGGTAATTTTATTATCATGTTAATTCTTCCTGGTCAGGTCATTAATTTTTTTTAAATCTCTTTAGGAGACATGCTTTAAGAAACTTAACAAAGGCAGTTTATCAAATTATGTATGCTTCTAATAATTCTTTTTAAAAACACCAAGGTTTTAAGTAGAGATTTATATTAGATAAATAGGGTTTTTCTGTATAAACATTGAAAGGTCAGATTATTTATTAGAAGTAAAGTAAATTTTGACACTGAGTGAAATAATTGATAAAAATATTAATTTTAGGGAGGAATTTTTATAAATGTAAGATGTGCAATTATGCATTTTTGTTCTTGGCAGTTTCTAATAACATGTGTCATAAAAGCTATTTAATTATTTGTTCTTTAAATTGAAATTAGTCATTGATCTAATTTAGGAATGGGTTTTTGCTTGTTTACCATTAAGAGATTATCACACCTATAAATAAAAGGTGACTTAATTTGATTTTAGATTTCTTTGTAAATTGATCTTTCCAAAAATTACCCATTATTTAGGATTAACAACATTTCTTGACCAATATAAATATTATACAAAGGTTCAGAGACAAATATTTGTCAAAGTTAATCAATAAATCATATATCCACAGGTCTCAACACCTATCAATAGGATCTATGACTCCTTCAGGTAAAAATGAGGTTACAATGGGGTCAAATTATTTTAGCCAATAAATTTTTTTGTTGACATTTACCAATATTTGTTTTGAATTACACATTCCTCTTGCATGCAAAAAATTAAGAAGTGAAAGTAATACACATCCAACTATCTGCAAGAGTGTTATAGACTTCTGAACACTTATCACCTTTCAGAATTCTAGACAAATTAGGATGAAAATTGTGATTATTATTCAGTAATGTCTCCTTTTTTCTTTTATACTGCCTATTCTGTGGCTATTTGTTTTCTTTAGCCATTATCATTTCTCACCTTAACTTTGAAAAAGTATTAGATTTTGAATGAGATTTTTAAAATCAATGAGTTATCTTGGCCCTCAAACTATATTCAGATGACCCTATCTTGATACCTCATTTTTACATGATTGCTAAGGATCAGGAGAAGATAACCCATCTATCACATAGTGACATCTAATTGGCCCTTAAGTGCACTGTTTATATGACCTGGTCATAACTTGTCACAGTTATGTATTATTTATGCAATATATGGATGTTTATATAACCAAAACAACAAGGAACGTCATACATGTACATGTACTTGTTTGTGTGAATTTTTGTGTAGCACATATTTGCAGAATTTAGTTCTAACATATTGAAGAAATTTATAATATTTACATGGAAGTTTCAGTTGTTAGATTTTAATTTCCGTCAGGGAATTAGTTTTTAGGTAACTCAGCTACATTAAGGTCACTATGCATGGATATTAGCAATATCCTCAAATATAGTCAGGATCACATGAAAAAGGCTGCTTACATCTACATCATTTGGTCTCTGGTGGACACTTGACTCAATCTTACCACATCTTCTAATTATTATAATTTAGTCTCCTTCTACTTAATCAGGTGTTTCCAATACACATTGGCCACATTCTCTGCACAATAAAGGAACCCTTTCAACAACTGATTGAGGGGTTCATAGGTGACCTGTTGCAAGGCAAAATTTCTGCTCCTATTCAACATTCCCTCATTTTCTAGTGGCCATTGAAATTCTTGTCCTTCATCCTGGTTGACAAACTTTGCAGACTACATGTACTACCTAATGCATCAATTGTTAATTTGTTTTTGTCCCATTTAATATGTGCTACTTGATGTTAAATAAACAACAATCACCCAATCACATTGCCACATAATACAAGATTTGACCATGACATCCATATTTAAGTATAAAACTTGTAGCTCTAGTTCCATGTTTTTGAACTAAGCTAGAATTTAATAGTAGATTTTTTTATTTGAGCATAGATATGAAATCTATAGCTGGCTCAAAATTCATTGTAAAATGCATTAAGAAGTCTCTTTGACACATTCCCCATTTCCATTCTCAATTTTATTCTGTTAAACTGTAAGACCAGTACTGGTATTGATTCACTGCTCTGTTATTGGTTCTAGTCTGGAGTGTTAGATACAGATTTTGAAAAACATCATGACCCTTGAATGAATCTGTCTTTGTCTGCTTTGCAAGTTATCCAATTCCTGAATATTTCTTGAATATTCATCTTTACCTTTTGAAGCTTGCATGTTAATTATGGAAAATTTACTTTTCGCTAGTTCAATGATCTTTTTTCTCAGTAAATCTTAGCAATTCTGACATGAAATTCATGAACAGAAACAGCTGTAGGTGTAATACAAGAAATCTAGCTGATTTGTCAAAGACAAATGACTAACTAAGTTTTTTTAAAACTTTAATGTATCCATCAGTTATGAATAAATATGTGAATATTAAGTAGCACTTTATCAGATGGTCTCATTAAATTTATAAACATGTAGTAGTTTTCTCCTAACTGTTTTAAGCCCAAGAGGCATACAACATATTTGTGTTCAACCTACTGTGTAATGTTATGTGATCACTTTAATTGACTGGTTTGACAGAGGTCGAGGAAATTTGAAAAATGTAATCAAATTTAGAAAACAATCTTTTGAATACAGTGTTTGTAGAACTTTTATAGGCAAGACTTCCATTTGACACCCCACCCCTCCTTTTACCTGTCTGTTAACCATGTGGGTTTGAATGGAAGTCTTTCTGTTGTATTCAAGCTACAGTAATCAAAATTTGGATCATTTCTAAGCAAATAAAAGTAATGATGATAAACCTCATTTTTTCTTGTCAGACCATATCCATATATATTTAGATTAATTGGCATTGGCATGAATATAAAGGAGTTGTTTGAAGTACAACAATTAGACATCAACCTAACAACACAAAAAAATTAAAAGATATTTGTGTAAATATATATATATTATTTTTGATTCCATATATTTTTATTGACAAATTTGGTTTCCTGAATGACAATGCAAAAATTATTCCTTTAATAGTATAATCATGCTATAATATGTCTCTATCATGTCTATTGGAACACATAAGTATCATAATGATTTTAGTTTCAAAGTTGTCCATTATAATAATTAGCAGTTACATTAAATGGTGAAAATTGTGGTATATTTCTAGAGTATATGTAAAAATTTACCTTCAAATGCTCTACATTTCCCACCAATTGGAATTTATGTACATTTGTACCTTTTGATAGGGAAAAGATTCAAATTAATTTTAATAGTTTTGCTGGAAACATATGAACACAATTGCTTGTTTGTTTTCTCTGTAGGTAATGTCTTAGTTCTATTTGAAAATTATAGAAGTGGTTGTACCGACATAATATTTCAAAAATATATTTACTATAAAAGTGACTTTGTTTAATAAATGATGAGAGAACATAAGAAATGCAGCATTCGTCCACCATTTTCAGGAAATAAGGAACGATATATCACGAAAAGTAGTATTTGTTATTGGTAGTCAATAATTAGTTTACATGAAAAATTCATCAATTATTCGCTAGTTAATTTTAGATTGAAAATCCTGTCATCAAAGTACAAATGCTAATTTCTTGAGGTTTCTATTTGTTTACTTCAAACAAGCATGAATCATTTTCTCTGGTGAAACCTTTCTGCACTGAATGGTGTGTAAACTGGAAACCTGTGTAAATTCAACTCTTGTATCAGTATACAGTCTATATTCTTTATCAATTTAATTTGTGCAGGGCTTCAAATTGAATTTTCAAGTGAGTGGACCTACTTAAGAAAGTTGTACATTTAATAGGTTCTGTTTAAAGCATCACCGTAACTGAAAGGTGATCCAAGACTTTGGTAAATCAAAAATCAGTGGTTCCCTGCCAGAAATGACAGGTATCAGATCTGGTACCCATGCTAATTTGAACCCCTGTTGTGTAAACCAAACACATGACTAATCTAAACAAAATATTCAGTCCCAAAGGGGTTAAGGGTTCAGTGTTGACAGTCAGTTGAAATGGGAAGTATTGGTATGGATATGTTCTTTGTTCTTGGTAGTCCTATGGATATGTTCCTTGTTCTTGGTAGTCCTATGAATATGTTCCTTGTTCTTGGTAGTCCTATGGATATTTTCCTTGTTCTTGTTAGTCCTATGGATATGTTCCTTGTTCTTGGTAGTCCTGTGGATATGTTCCTTGTTCTTGGTAGTCCTATGGATATGTTCCTTGTTCTTGGTAGTCCTATGAATATGTTCCTTGTTCTTGGTAGTCCTGTGGATATGTTCCTTGTTCTTGGTAGTCCTATGGATATGTTCCTTGTTCTTGGTAGTCCTGTGGATATGTTCCTTGTTCTTGGTAGTCCTATGGATATGTTCCTTGTTCTTGGTAGTCCTATGGATATGTAATTACTTAATGAACTCTTTGAATTCACATGGGAAATTGAGTTTACAAATATACTTGTTATTAAAAAATCCTCTTTTTGATGATAAGTGACAGATCTGACTTGTGTGTTTGAGTTCACTCTGTAACTTGTACTATATAAAGTATGAGTACAGTCCTTGCTGACTGGTGTAATTAGATTTAATGTGAAAGTTACAAGTTAGGTCTTTTATCTAAAATATAGTCCAAATTGCTT